CTGATCCAAGCCATGGGATTTTCAATAACCTCATATGCATGCGAAAGCTGGACAGTGAATAAGGAAGACCACAGAAGAAGTGATGCTTTTGAGTTAATGGTGTTGGAGGAGAATATTGAAAGTGCCGTGGGCTGCCAAAAGAACCAATAGATCCGTTTTAGAAGAATTACAGCCAGAGTGCTCCTTGGAGGCCAAGATGGCCAAACTTCATCTCTCATACTTTGGATATATTGTCAGGAGGGAGCAGTCGCTGGAGAAGGATATGTTTGGTAAGGTGGAGGGTCAGAGGAAAAGAGGAAGACCCCCAACGAGATGGATTAGCCAAGTGGCAGCATCGACAAACTCAAGTGTGGCAACAGTAGTAAGGTTGGCCCAGGATCGGGCAGTGTTTTGTTCTGCTGTGCATAAGGTCACTATGAGTCGGAACCGACTCGATGGCACCTAACAACAACAACAACAAATGTTCAAAGTATGTGAGATAAAGTCTTACCATGCGTGCTTTTAAGGAACATTCTAGCTGCTGTATGACTTCTTCTGAGACAAATTTGTCCTTTCTTCTTCATTTTCTTCACCAACTTCATAATTGTTATGTGTTGTGAGTCAATTCTGACTAAGCGACCCTATATACAACAGAATGAAATACTGCCCAGTCCTGTGCCATCCTCACAATTGTTATCTTTGAGCCCATTGCTGCTGCCATTGTGCCAATCCATCTCAGTGGGAGTTTTCAAACTCTTTTTCAATGCCCCTTCACTTTTCCAAAAAACAATATCCTTCTCCAGGAACTAGATCCTTCTGATAATATGACCAAAGAACAAGAGACTAAGTCTCACCATTCTTACTTCTAAGGAGCATTCCGGCTACATTTCTTCCAGGACAGAATTTGTTTGTTCTTCTGACAGTACATGGTACATTCAGTATTCTTCTGCAACACCATAACTCAAATGCATCCATTCTTCTTTGGTCTTCCTTAATAATTGTCCAACTTTCACATGCATATGAGCCATTAAAAATACCTTAGTAAGGCACACCTTAGTCTTCAAACTGATATCATTCCTATTTAAAACTTTAAAGTGGTCTTTGTAGCAGATTTGCCTACTGTAATCCATTGTTTGACTTCTTGAGTATTGCTTCCATGAGTGTTGATTGTGGATTCAAGCAAAATGAAGTCTTTAATAACTTCATTCTTTTTTACCATTTATAATGATGTTCTTTATTGATCCAATTGTGAGGATTCTTGTTTTCTTTGCATTGACATGCAATCCATACTGAAGCCTGTAGTGTTTGGTCTTCATTAGCAAGTGCAAAAGCACTTTCAGCAAGCAAGATTGTGTTATCTGTATAATGCAGGTTGTTAATGAGTGTTACTCCAATCCTGATGCTGTATTCATCTTCATGTAGTCCAGAGTCTCAGATTATTTGCTCAGCACACTTCTTACTTAATTATCCTTCAATTATAGGAAACTGAATCTGAGTGGGTAAATAATTTCAAGAAGATCACACAGTACTGTGTCCTGACTCCAACACCCATATACTTTGTTTATTTAATCCTTACCTTCTCCAACTCTCTGCCTTCTCTCCTAACTCAAAGGAGTGGTAGAACTTCTATCCAAGACTGCCTACACCTTCATTGTTCAAGTCGGTCAGGTCGATTTCAACTCACAGAAACCTGATGTGATAGAGTCGAACTACCCCCAAAGCATTTTCTAGGTTGCAGTCGTTATGGGAGCAGATCCCCACGTAGTTTCTCCAACTGGCCATTAGGGTTCCTTCCCAGCTCACCAACCCAATTGTGTCTAGCACTGAGGGTTTTTCCATGTGTACCAGACTTCATGTTTAAAACTGAGGCAGCTACAGACAAACCGGGATAGTTGATCATCTCCTCTGGAATCTAACTCCATTCGTAGTCCCCTCTCACCTACAACGCTCCCTCTTCTCCCTCATTCTGGCTCTTCCTAAACCTTCTCTCTCCCCATGGTGATACCACTGTGTTCCTCTCCTCTTGGCTAACACATCTCTTTCACCATCATAGGCAATGTTTCTAATGATGCCAACCCTCACCAGTAGAAATTGTCATCAAGTCCATGCCGACTCACAGTGACACCATGTGTGTCAGAGTAGGAATGGCTTCAGAGGGTTTTCAGTAATTGATTTTTCAGAAGTGGATCACCAGGTCTTTCTTCTGAGGTGTCTCTGGGTGAACTCAAACCTCCAACCTTGTGGTTAGCAGCCAAGCCCATTAACCATTTGCATCACTAGCTTCCACCCTTATAGTTTTAACTGCTCACCCTACAAACTGCCAATACTTCCTCAATTTCAGCGATCATCTCTGTGGCCAATATGTAGACCCTGTGCTTGTTGACAGGCGTGACACTAGACCTGTCAGTATTACAGACAAATTCTCTAAGAGAAACAGGGTCAGGTCGATTTCTCTAAGAGAAACAGGGAGCCCAAGTTCTAGTGGGAGGATTCAGGTAAGGACACAGCCATCCCAATTCTGTATGACAAATACTGTGGAGGAGGTGGTACAGTACACTGTGAGAACACACGGAAAAGTGGAGTGGAGAACGCAAAGAGGTTTCCAGTAAGAGCTCTAAGCTGAAGCTCAAAGCAAGAGTAAGATTTGCCACCACCCACCTAGTGTGGCGCTGTGGGTTAATGCGCCAGACTGCAAAGTCATTTAAACTGCAAGGTCAGCAGTTCAAGTTCGCCAGCTGCTCCTCGGAAACCCTATACAGGGTTGCTCTGGGTCGGAACCAACTCGACGGCACTTCACAACTACAAGAACAACCTATCAGTTTGTCCTACTATGGTGATTTGCATGTTGCTATGGTGCTATACTGAAAGCTGATATTTCAAATATCAGTAGATTCCCCTATGGAGAGATTTCAGCAGAGTTTCCAAGCTGAGACAGACTAGGAAGAAAGACCTGGCAATCTAGTTCTGAAATTAACCAATGAAAACCTTATGGCTCACAATAGTATACTGTCCAATATAGTGCTTAAAGATGAGCCCTCTTGGTTGCAATATACAGTGGCTGCATGAGTGGACTTCAGCATACCAATGATCATGAAGATAGAGTAGGACTAGGCAACCTTTCCTTCTGTTGTACTTGGGGTCACCATGAGTCAGAGCCAACTTGGTTGTAACTAACAACAGCAATAATAGGCCTTGCCAGACTAAGAAGGTTCCGAGCAAAGGAGATTGTTTATCCAATATTGGACGCTTGGTTTTCAGGAACTGAAAGAAGCTCACTCTGAACAGGGCTTGACCAGAACCCAGACCTGGCAGGATCGTTCTTGTACGTAGTGATAAG